ATGTGTCGGATCTGGCATTTGTGAAACCGTAGCATAGGAGGAAGGCTTTGAGTGTGTGGTACCAAGCCCGCGGCGCCTGTTCCAACCCGTACAATGCTTTCTGTAACTTACAAACATGTCCAGGATATTGGGGATGAACAAAACCCGGTGGCTAAGACATGTAAATATTCTCATCAATTTTACCATGTAGGAACGCATTATTAACGTCCATGTGAGTGATAGACCAGCGCTTGGAGATAGCAACACATAGTACTAATTTGATAGTTTGTGGCTTGATAACAGGACTGAATGTGTCATTATAATCGATCCTAGGGCGTTGATGAAATCCCTTCGCAACGAGGCGTGCCTTATACCGAGCAATGGATCCATCGGTGTTGCGTTTAAGGCGAAAAACCCATTTGTTACCGATGACATTGAAGTGATCTTGCGCTAGAACGAGAGTCTATGTGCCATTGGCAAGAAGGGCATTGAACTCGTCAGACATGGCAGCCTTCCATTCTAGGTGCCGCAGAGCTTGGGTGAAGCAAGAGGGCTCCACGGGCTCAGGAAGAGGGAACTTGGTTGCGGCAAATGCTTGCTTAGACTTGAAAATTCCATTCTTGGACCGGGTGACCATGGGATGAGAGGATAATGGCGCAACAACATCCAAAGGAGTGGGTGCATCACGAGGCAAGTCTGATGACAAGCTGGTTAAGTTACGATCCACAGGAGGGGAGGATGACTCAAAAACAACCAAGGGATTGGGACTTGAGACGCTAGTGAGACTTGGCGAGGGTGGAATAGGGGGTGGTAGGGGATGGACAAGAGCTAGGGATTGCGGAAGACACGGGAGAGTTGATTGAGGGTATGACGGTGAGGAATCGACAGAGAGAGTGAAGAAGGGAAATATGTCCTCCACAAAGGTCTGAGTAAGGCTATAGCCAAGGAAAACATAAGATTTAGACTTATATTGGAGTTTATTAGTGGAATAGGATGCTAACCAAGGATAACACAGACAACCGAAGACACGTAGTTTGGAGTAGTTGGGTGAATGGTGAAACAAAATTTCAAAGGGAGATTTCATGGCGAGACCAACGGTGGGCATGCGATTTATAAGGTAAGCGGCGGTAGGAAGTGCATGAGACCAAAAACAAAGAGGAACAAAAGCATGATGAAGAAGATAGCGAGCAGTTTCAACAAGGTGGCGATGTTTTCATTCAGAGAGACCATTATGTTCAGGCGTATAAGGTGGGGTGGTTAAGTGAGTTATGCTGTGTTGTTGAAGTTGAGGACACAACTTAATAAACTCACTGCCATTATCACTGAATAAGGTTTTGATTTTACAATTTAACTGATTCTCAACAAGATTTTTAAAAATAGGAAAGACAGTAGAGACATCAGATTTTAACTTAATCGGATAGAGCCAGACATATTTAGAGAAATGATCAATAAAGAGAACATAATATGAATAATCGTTTATTGAAGAGCATGACACAAGTCCCCATACATCAGAGTAAATTATTTCCAAAGGCTTATTACTGGACAACGTGGACACAGAAAATAGTAGTTTGTGACTCTTATTAGCTAAACAATCAAGACACCTAAAAGAGGAGAAAACAGAAATTTTATTGCCAAGGATGTGTTGGAGAACTTGACGATGAGGGTGACCGAGACGATGATGCCAGACATCGACAGGAGGCTGACGTTGAACATGAGAGACATAAGGTGAAGGGCGGTGGGATCGCAACTTGTACAGCTGGTTAGCACTCCTTCCGCGCAGCAGAACTGCCCCCGTGCTGAGACGCTTGATCTCAAAATGCCATGGAAAAAATTCAACAGAGACAGAGTTAGTGTGGCACAATGTGGAAACTGAAAGAAGATTCTGACTAACAGCAGGAACATAGATAACATTTGAAAGATGTAGTGGGGTTGACGCTGTGGGAACACTAGTAGAACCACAGCCCGAATAGGAAGTCCCTTACCATTTGACACAACAAGTTAATCAGAACCATTGTAGGCAGAGGAGAGCGAGAGCGAATGAGGTCCTGAGTTACATGATGGGAAGCACCAGTGTCAAGAAGCCATGAGGGATCTGAATCCACACCTTCGGTAACCGCAGCAGTGTTTGCCTGATGTCGTGGGTGATTAGCAGGGAAACCATGGAGACGATAACAGGTCTTGGCTGTGTGACCCTGGCGATCATAGTATTGGCACACTGGAACAGGGCGACACATGTTGGATGATGCATCGCTAAGAGAAGAAGGGTTGGAGCCACGTGACTGAGTGCCACGTCCGCGACCACGACCAGATCCGCGAAAAGAGCGGGTAGCAATATTAGCGGTTACCGGGAGTGATTGATGTTGGCGTTCATCACGCTGGAGAAACAGCTCATAGTCAACAAGCTTGTCGTGGAGTTCATCAAATGACAGAGGGGAGTCGCGAGTGCGAATGGAAGCAGTAAACTCGCGGAAGGCAGGGCCCAGCCCATTGAGGGCCGCAATCACAATGTCGAGATCATCTATGGGATGACCAATAAGAGTGAGTTCATCGGCAATGATGCGAAGGGAATGAAGGTAGTCACTAACGCTGGAAGTTCCCTTAGAGATAGAGGCGAGACGCTCCTTGAGAGACACGACGCGAGTACGGGAGCGATTCACATAGTGTTTGTTTAGTCAAGTCCATGCAGCAGCGGAGGACTCAGCAGAGGTCATGACGATTTGTGCTTCAGAGCCACATGACGCCAGGAGGGCAAGAAAGACATAATGGTCCTGACGTCTCCAATGCGAGTAAGTGGGATTGGTTACGGCAGCAGTGCTGGTGCCAAGAGTTGTAGGAGGGCATGGGGTATCGCCGGTGACGTAACTGTGCAGATCATGAGCCTTGAGGAGATGAACGATCTGAGTGTGCCAAGTATGGTGGTTACTGGAACTCAGTTTGATGGGCAGAGTGGCGGCTGTCGTGAGTTCAATAAGAGAAGTTACAGGAGAGTCAGAGATAACCATTGAGAGGATCGAGACGGCAGTGAGCCTAGGGCAACTCTGATACCATATAAAGAATATAAAATAATGTTTTTGATTGATATTTAATATGACAGATTACAATGTATATATAGAGTTACATCAAAGAGAATAGATACAATAAAATAGGAAGAGACAAAACAAAATAACAGAAATGAAGATAAGAATAAAGTACAGCTTCTATTACAACTTCTATTATGAGAATTAAGGGAAGACTAGGTGATTATGCCAATAAAGGGGAGAGGGGAGAAAGATGGGGTAGGAGATTGGTGGGGTTGGCATGGGAGTTGGAGAAAAAAGAGAGTGAGAAAGTTAGGTGTGGAGGGAGGGGAAGAAGGAGTGGAGGAAGAAAGAAGGGAGTAGTGAGGTAGGAGTAAGGAAGAAAGAGGAGAATTGAGTATAGAGGGAGGGAAAGTTGAGTATGGTAGTAAAGGGAGGTTGGAGAGGGATGGATTGGACATGAGAGATGATGGAAAGTTGCAAAAGGTTGTAGTTTTCTGCATTTTTACTTGTAAACAAAAATAGAACTGGAACGAGAGGATCTTGATCCTTCTCTATGCTGTCAAAATAGTGCATAACTTTGATGAATTCTGGTTGAGACATATGGAATCTAACATTCTATTAGTTTTGGTGGAATTGAGTTCCATGATGTGCATTTAGTTACACGTGAAAAATTAGTTAAAAAAATGATTATTATAGTGCTCCTAAATTTGAAAGACATTGTAAAGGTGGTAATTTCTTAAAAAGTATGGATATTTATGTCTATTTCAAATAAATTAATGTAGTATAGTAATTTTGTTTCAATTAATGTAGTATAGTAATTATCAAATAATATAATGATTTCAAATTATATTTTGTTTCAAATTGCAGTATAATATTTTAGTTTTCATTTAAGTATCTTGTATGATATTTTATAATAACAATAAAGATTTTATTTTAAAAAAATACAAATTTTAATATAATATTTTCTTAATTATGTCATTTGTTAAATTATCTTTTAATATTTCTATTTTATTTTTAAATTGTATCAAAAAATATAAAAATCTCACATCCCTCCCCATCCAAAATTTTACCATTTTGTTTTAAAAAATAAAACGGTGAATCTCACGTAAAACGTATGTTTTTTCATATAAGATAAAACATTCAAATACATAAAAAATTTCTTTTCTTACACTTATTTATCCCTCCATAATCTTTTCTACAAAATCAAACAAAAAAAAAATACAAGAGGAATGTAAAGAATAAAATGCTACAAATAAATTCTATAATATATTATTTTTTACACATTCTTATTAAATGTATTAGTTTTAAATAAAATTATGAATAAAATTTATTAAAGAAAGAATAAAATTTTCATAGTTTTATAAATTCTAACAAATCTCAATTATTTATAAACTAATCTCTGTAAAAAAATAAATTTTAATCTCTACATAAATGCTTTATTACGTTTTAATTTGTCATTTAACACCTTAAAAAACATGCTTTGGTTCCTATCTTTCTAACACTATTAGAAAATATTGGTTTGACTAACTAAATAAACAGTAATTTTTAACCAAAGCATAATAGAACTCTCACTTAAAAGACTAAAACGTAAATCATTCTATTGCAAAAAATTTTATAAATAAGTTTCAACCGACTCGTTTAAAGCAGAAAAACGATTTCTACGGAATTTGAAAATAATGGCTACCGTTTGACGCAATTTAATTTCTGCCCCAAAATTCTTTCGCTCGTCTGATTTGAAGTAAAAATCGATTCCAATCACTAAAATACTAACTAAACGAGTTATAAAAACATTTTTAATCCAAAACAATTTACTTATATATTGTGATAGACAACTGATTCAATTACCAAAGTTTTCTTATTATTCGTTTGAACTAAGTAAGGCGGCATTAGCAAAACAAGCAGTTCAACTCTCCTTGGCAGCTGAAGACCCCATCAAAGTTACAACAGCGTGAACATTTTGGCATGTCCAATTAATAATGGAGTGACAATACGAGACCTACCTGTATATATACAACAAAAGAACAAGGAAAGGGATATATATTATGATGTAAAAGAATCAAAATAATTATGCTTTTGTATCATCCTGTACAATTCAATCCCGGTATCCTTCTGAGTCTAGTCTCAATGCGTAAACTTATGTGGGGCTTATGGAATCTACAACGGAAGGCGTTAGGTATACTCGTACATGGCAGGTGACAAAGCTATGCACAACTTCAAGATATATCAGATTTGGGTCAAGCCCCGTAATACCACGAAGGATTAATAATGTAATGAGTATTTTGACAGTTACACAACCAGCTTCTCTTGCATATCTCACATATGCGTGACATAAACTTTTCAGGGGAATGAGTTTGTTGAGTAAATTGAGATTCTCAAGTTGTTTCTTCAAGTCACCCATGTGTGAAAAATGAGAGAAACCATATTTACGACTATCATTATCCTTGAATTAAATGTCCTCATCGCCTCAAAATCTCCTGACAAAACTGAGCCGCAGATTTCATGGAATTTCAAACCTGATGATGAGAAAAGTTCTATAGGGTTCTAATCGCAGTCTGGTTTGTACATATGCAAGAGCACTCCGCTTCATTTCCAAACAGCCTTTTCTCACGGTTAATCATCAATTTAATCAAGGGCAGTTTCTTTGAAACTTGGCGCCAAATCTCATTAACTGTCCCATGAGGATCATCATACTCAAAGTATCGCTTAACCTGAAACCAGATAAACTAAATTAATGCCCTGGTGTAACAAAAGGGAAAAGAATAACAAAATAGAGGCAGGTTAGAATGCCCTTATTAACTGATATATTTTTCAAATAGAAACCAGAAACTACAAAAACAACTAAGCTAAAAATATAGAAGAAAGAATAGACAAAGTAAAACACAGTTTAGTATCTTTTCTATTAAATCTGGAGCTATTAGCTTAGACCTTGTATAATTTCTACTTGAGATAGAAGGAAGCATCACCGTGTGCAACCCAAGCACAGCAGAATAAAAGGATTTAAGGGTGTCAAATAATAAATAGGAGTGAAGCAATGATAATCTACTACATTAATTGCCTTATTGAGAATCAGAATCAATACTAAAGATTCGTTTTCATAAGTCAGGAAAATGCCAATCACCGTGGATCTTAACCAAGCAAAAGGATTAACAGCTTGTTCAGTTTTAGGTTCTAGTTTATATAATTGATTTTGAATTGAAAATGGATGATTATGATGCGTTATGCACAAAACCCAATGCACATTCTAATTGCAAAATATTAAAAGTGATGCAGAATATAGAAAAGGAATGCAGTCCAATCAAACTTCACATATTAAAAGTATAAGTGCCATAACAGGAAAACAATGAGAAACTTGCCCCTTCTTGCTAACAAAAACTAATGATTAATTACTTTAGTTAAAAGACCATAATAAAGTAACCTGTCTTTCCACCAGTATAACAATGTATATGAATACAAAAAAACTTAAGAGGGAGAAAAAAAAACACTATTGGTTTTAAGTAGCAATGTTTATCAATCCACCAATTATATCATTCTATGTATTGATTCTGTCATTCTTTCCAAGGGATTAAAAAATGCAACAGGTAGAGTGGAAAACAACAGCACTACTAACCTCTTTTAGCTCTTTCTGATATTCCAAGATTCTATCTGGGGTCACCGCTCTCAATTTTGACACCAAATATCCTGACTTAATAGCAGAAGCAGTTTCTACAAATACAGCAATCTTTCTATAATCTATAGTATCTTCAAAAGGCAACTCGATACTATCGCTGACAATCACTGGGATGCACAAGCTAACTATAGCATCAAACAGTCGGCAGGCTGATGGTGTATCTCCTGCAGGATGTAAACAGAACTTTGATGTATGCATTCCTTGTGAAGCTGCTCGTCGACTCTCTCTGGATTGTGCTCCATGCTTTATTATGACATCCTTTTCATTTTCTAGAATTTGAAAGAGTATATCACGGATTTTCCCTCCCTGTTAAAAATAAGAAAACACAAAGGAATCAATATGACAAGTAAAAAAAAGGCCGAGTCGAAGGCAATCTTCTGGTTCTGTAAGAACAAACAAGAAAGATACTATCACAGTCTGATGCTCAAATGTTTTGACGAGAATACAATGAGGAAACTGATTATAGACACTGATTTTTACTGCACACATGATCACCAGAAAATATTATGTTTTACCCAAGTAAAGAATATATATCAATTTAAATACTGTATAATTAAATTAAAGAAAACTCCTCGGAAAAGATATATAAGCATAATAATGCTATACTTCTAATTACAAAATTGATAATTGATACCATGTCCAGCAAGCTCTCGTGAAGTATAAAAAAACAAAAGAAAGTCCAGTTTTGCAAACAGACAACAAAGAAGAAATTTTAATGCCAAGGAAGCAGGGAGACACCGTAAAGCTCAGTAAAGATCTCTAGAGGAGGGGCTCCACGGTAGTTGCCTAAATTACTAAAATTCCACTGGATGTATCATCCTTTAATTCGCTTCTTACAATTACATTCATCGAATCATAATTAATAGGCATTTTGAGAAGTTCACAATTTATTGGCATTGCAGTATTGCACTTAGATAAAATTTATTGGCTATTCAGTAGTACTTTTCACTCCACTACTGCTTCTAAATAGAGTCTAAATTATTTTTTGTCTTCGATTCCAGATAAGGCAAGAAAATACAAATTACAACAGAGTAACAATTCATAATTTCACGATCCATAAAAAACCTAATCGGAAATACAAACATGAGACTGCACTTCAATTGAAAATTCACCCAACAGTCTATAATAACAAAAAGTCTCAATCGAAATCCACGATCACAGACAGAATAGAAGACAAAGAAACATACCTCTTTGCGATATCGATTCCCCATGAAAAACAACAAGGTGTTGCGATTATCCACACCAACGTCCCCCTCATACGTTCTGATACGATGCGAGTAGGGCACAATTACGTCCTTCACCAGCGATCCCTGGTCGGGTCGCAACCGCCCGAAATCTGATACAAGCAACACGCAATTTTTTACCCGATCGATGACCCGATACATTGCATTCGGATCCGAGGCAACGATCACGTGATCCCTCCCTTTGCTCCTCTTCCAATACTCTTGCCCCTCCAGCCACTTCACCAGCGCCTCCTGGTTCTCCTCGTCGCTGTAAACCGGTTTCTCCGAACCTGAACCTGCCGGTCGAACAGGGTTCACGATCAAACTCAGCGACGAGAAAAACGGCACGAAAAACAAGTCGGCTTCCTCTGGATCCTTTACCCGAACCACAGCTGAACCCGCACGTTCGGATTCGGGTCGGGCGAGATCCGAATAGAGGTACCACTCGGCCATGTGCTGGTGGCCGGGGTACTTAAGGGATGACACGTCATCGGGGTTGGCGTGTGAGCCACGCGCGAGGCCATGGTGGTGGATGACGCCGTAGGTGAACCTGCGGGGGAGATCGTAGAGGAAGACCTTGACAGCGGGGAATTTGGAGACGCCGGTGGCGAATACGACGGAGGAAGTGGTGGCGGAGTTGATTGAGTCGAAGGCGAAGGAATCGGTGGTGTGGAAGAAGGAATTGAAGATGACATAGAGGGCAAAGACGATAAGGAAGGTTGCAAGGGTTTGCTTGAGAAGGGGTTTTCTGGGCATCGTGGAAATGAGTGTTTGGGAAGTGTTGCAGAAACGCGAGAGAAAACCGGGTTTGGGCTTTCTGCCTTTGGCTTTGGTTGGTCCTTCTTCGTTCATGTTTTTGGCATACGGCATCGCCACTTTCTTTCCCTTTGTAAATGTACGCATAACAAAACAATTTATACGACTACACACTACGCGTACGGGCAAGTGGATCCACTTATTCCTTTACAGTTTACAACAACCTATCTATGGTTATGGATCAAGCAAATTCCATTTTCCACCTTCCGTTAATCTCATTTTATTGCATTCCTTCGTTCCTTCTTGTGTTTGTAAGATGGGAGATGCCAGGGTCCAATCAAACGGCTACGATCATTGTGTCATTGGGGAGCTTTTTTAGGTAAATAATTCATCAGAAAGCTACCTCACCTCACATGACATGCTCCTTTTTTCTCTTCAATTTCCATATTTTAATTCTACACCCAAATAATTACGACTCTTTTTCAGCCTATCCCGACCAATAACCTATAGCAGCTCAGAACGCCTAGTCTGATATAACCCACAGGCACACCTTACTTTATTTTATTATATATATATTACACTAGTTAAATATAAAAAAAATTTACACTTAATTTAAATTGTTTATTTAATTTATATCTAAAAAATTTAAATTAAATATAAAAGTTTTTTAAAAAAATATTTCTCTTTAAATATATTATTTTATTTTAATGCATTCTTTGTTACATCCAAATCTAAAATTTTAATTTTAAAATTGTTTCAAGATGTCTGTTTTGTGTGTGTGCGCGACCTACGTCTAATCTTTCACATTTAATTTTCTAATTTGATTCCACTTCAAATTTAAGAGTTTTAATATATTTTATATTTTTATTTAAATAAAATTTATGTAAATTAATAAGATGTAAGTAGAAAAGATGGCTTAGGAAGAATAGGAGCTTTCTGAGATTCCTCCCATAAAGTAAACCAACTTTAGGGATTTAGTTAAATGAAAGCGGCAGCTCATGTTATATCTCTATCATATTTTTTAATTAATTATTGAGAGAAATTTTAGTCTGACTTAAATGAAAATTTAAAAATTAAAAGAATTAAATATGAGTAATTAAAATTAATGATAGACTAATTATGTAATTAAATATCTACATTATTATGCGTATGTGTTTATCTTTTTTTATCTTTAAATTTTTATTAAAAATAAAATATGATATGAAATTATGAATGATGTAGTTTAATTCTTTTATAATTTATAAAACAAATTCAATTTAAGAAATAAAGAACTGATTTTTTTTAATAAATATTACAATAAGTTTTTTTCAGGGAAAAAATGTATTGTGAAACAGGTTGGCTACATAAGTCTTCTACATGCAAAGGGCCAAGTTTAGACTATTATTTTAAAAGCTTAAATTGCTTGTATAACCCAAACTGAGTTGAGTACCTCAAATTTACAGCTCTATAAAACATTAACTTTGAGGGGGGAAAACATCTAATTTTAAAGGTAATTTAATTTTGATTTTAAAGGTAATCTAATTTTAATTAAATTTTAATATTAGATATTTTTTCAAAAATTAATTTTTATAGTTTTATGCACAAACCCATATATACTCATTATCTACTGAGGTTATTTGGACATGCAAAAAATGTCATTAAAAGCTTCAATAAAAAAAATACATGATATGATTTTTAGTTCGTTAGAAAAATAGTAAAAAAAATAAAATAATAGTAGTAAAGATTATTTAAAAAATTATAATAAATAATATCTTAAATAAATAAATTTTTAATTAAGTTTAATAATATTGTGTGATTTATACCATATTTAAAAAGATAACATTTAATTGTTGTTGTCTTCTCCTTGTAGACAAAATGCTAAAGTTCAAGTTATATGTGAATTAATTTCTTAAGTTTTAAAAGAAAGACTAATAAGCTAATTATAATACTAAGGTGTTGCACACATTTACTTTAATTTTTAAACAATTAATTTTAATATATAAAGTACATTACATATATTTATATATATTATAAAAAATATAAAAATAATAATTTATATTTAATAGTTGAGATAAAAGTATGACTTTAAGGTATTTATTATAAATATAAAATTATTGTTAATAAAATCGACACAATAATTATGATAAATCTACATTATTTTAATATTTTATTATAATTATATTTTTATTGTATTTTGTACATTATTTGAGTTACTTAAAACTCACATGTTTGATAAATATGTTATAAATAATAATTATAATATTATTAAGTATATCTGCCTTTAATAAATATATTATTTAATATTAAATTGTAATAAATCTTACATACAAATAATTATAACGTCTCAAATTTTGTAAATAATATTTTAACTATATATATATATTGCCATATATTTGTGTGTTTAAGTATGTGATAATGATGTGTATTAGATGATGGTGAGAATACATGTGTGTGAATATATGTGGATAAGTATGTGAGTATGAGTGTGAATATTGATTTTGGGTCGAGATTGGACATGTTTGACTTGTAGTTGGTCAGGATTGATTGAGGAGAATAGGCTAAGTGTGAATTGCAGGAGCATTCTCGCTGCAGTAAGAGTTCTCTCGCTGTAGCGAGAAGGCAACAGAGAAGGGTACATTATGGGTTACAGTCTCGCTATAATGAGATTCTGCAGAAACCAGAGTACAGTTTTCTCTGAGAATTTTGCTGTAACGAGAGGGTTGTCACTGCAGCAAGGTTCAGATGGCTCGCTATAGCGACAGTATCGCGATTAGAAGGGTATTTGAGGGGTTTAGGATTTAGGAAATTCATTTCCCACCTTTCCCTTTGAAATCTCTCTCTGTTCTCTTGATTTCAAATCCATTTTTACCGATTAAATTGTCTCCAAAGCTGTTTGGGAGTTAGATTAAAGGGTGAAATCAAATTTGGAGCGTTTGGAGGACGAAATCAGTGTGGGTGATGTTTTAATTATTGATTTGCATTATGGGTCTTCACTTTGAGGTAAGAGGGAACTTTACTCTATCTCTTATGCTTAGAATTCGTTTGTATGATTATGTTTGTGAATGGGAATGATTGGAATATTGGAATATGAATGTTTTAATGAAAGTGATCTGATTGTAGTGAGATTGTGGTGGAAAGATTTGTAGAATATAGTGTGATGGATGTTGAATAGTGTTCATGATGGAATGCATTAATTGGTATGGATTGTGATGGAAAATGTTGTATTTGAATACAATGTGATTGATGTTGAATATGATGTGTGATAAAATGGTTGAACTCGTTGTGGGTGACTATATGTGGTTGCATGCCATTTATTGATGCCAAATAATTAGAATGGTTGAAAATGTGTATAAATGGCATGTTGGATGTGATTGTGATGATGTTTGGAATGATTAGAAATTATGAATGGTTCAGCGATACACTAGAAGTGTAGAAGATAGGGACAATAGAAATAAATTTGGGAAGAGAGAGTGGTGGTAACACCAACAGTGAGCGTAGGTGCACCACAGGCCACACACTCTCCTCTTGACTCGACCTTTGATTAACACTTGTGCTAAGGGACCCGTGATTGCACACATTGTATCTGTGAGGTGGGGGTTATCCAGAGACCATCCATGGTGTGAACAAAGTAAGTCTCTAAGGTTAAGAGCATCAGGAATCTGTGATCACAATGCCACAATAAGCATAGCTATGTGCAGTGAGCGCACGTGTGGGTGTAAAATGATTGATGGTACAGTGAGTGCACTTGTGTATGAATGAGAATGTAATATTTAAATTATTGCTTTGAGTTAGTTGATGAATAATCTAAAATATGTTAGGAATGTATGGAAACATGTTAGGTGAGACTCTATGTTTATTTGTGTTTGGTAGTGTAGAGTACTCATTCTTATATTTATTTTTTAAGTGACTAAGATGATTAGCACCAGACTTAGTGAAATGATGGATAATACTGCTATAAGACTTAGAGTATTTATTAGCTAAAATATATTATTTAAGTCCTGTAGCTATTATTTGATTCAAATAGTAATTCATCCTTATTTTGAAATATTTTGTTGAACGATGCATTGAGAACTATTTGAATGAAATTTTTTTATTACTCTTATTTTGTGAAATTTATTTATATTTAGAAATTAAATTAAGGTGTTGCAATAATCATGATTGATTGATGCGTAAAAAACTGAATTTATTATAATAAAAAATAAACACAGAATAAAAAATGTTAATATTATATTCTTAACATATAAATTTCAATAGAATATTAATGATTAATTATTATAATTAATGACTTATTAATAATATATAATTAAAAATATTGTTAATTATTTATTAAATATAAACTTAATTTTATTAGTTCAAAATATTTTATAAATAATATAATTAAAAATAAAAAAATTATGGACAGGTATTTTAAATTATAATAACTATAGTAATTTATCTAAATTAATAATAAAACATCAAAATTATAAATTAGACTATTATTTTATTTTATTGATTTATATATAATGCGTAATTATATATTTTAATTTAGAGTAAAGATACATTGATATCATCTCAAACTCAAACACTTATACTATTTAATAATTTTTTTAAAAATATAAAATAAATAAATTAAATTATTGAATTATTTTATATTATCTGCATGATTATATATATTAAATTTCATGTAATTTGAACATTTGCATTTATATTATTCAAAATTTAATATATACTTATGTTTTAAAAATATATTAATCCTTGAAATAAAATAATGTAATGATGGACTTAATGATTTTACTTTCTCATGAAATTTTATAATATTGATTTATTTAATAAAAATATTTAAATCAATGATTCAATTTGTTAATCTCACGTTCTATAAAAATTTATTAAACGGTGTAAATGTACAAGTTTATCATTAGTGTCAATAAATCTTAACTCTTTAATATATATATATATACTTAAAATTTATTATCAATAAAAAAATACATGTGACTAGTATGTTGTAAATTTTAAGATAAAATTTAAATATAATATCTTAAGTATTTTTTTAAACTATTTTTAACTAAAATAAAATTTCTAAAAAATAAAGTCAGTCTTTAGTATTAATTTTTATTTAATGGTCATCATATTATCGAGATAAAATCTTAACTATCATTAAAGAATAATATTAATGTGTTTGAATAGTGTAATTCTAAATTACTATATTATATGTATTTGAATATTTTAAAATATTTCAAAATTTTAATTAGATAATTTTTATATTAAATAGAAAATTATCAAATGAAATATCTTTAAGAGAGAATTTAAAATTCTTTATTATGCTCAATCTTTTGTAATAATCGTTCATAACTCTTTTCTTATTTTATTTTTAAATTATTCTTTATTATTGATTCAATATTCTTTAAAGACAATTAAAGTAATTTAACTAGTTAAAGAGAAAAAAACTAATCATTTAGAGAAAA